TATTTTTTTGGCATGCACGCATGCAATCGTATCGTAACACATTTTTTGTCATCTCTATCTCTCTCTTTCTCTGTCTGTCTGTATCTTTCTCTCTATCTATCTAGATCACAGATCACTATATGTATAGACACTAYAGACGCACTCTGTCTTCGATAATATTATAATATAAGACGTATTATATGATTATCTCGTTCCGGAAGCGCGTCCGGAGGATCCAGGCGATTTGCACGTGTTTGAGCCGTCGATTCGTCCGGACACGCTACCCGCACTTATAATATTATACACAAAACCTATGATATTATTATAATAATAACAATGATATATAATTATGTACCTACCTACGGCTATAATAATCGTATACGCGAACGAACATTTTTTTTTTTTTTAACACTATTACATCGCACACGGAAAAGTATAAAATATTTTTCATATAATACTATGTAGTCGGTACATTATATATTATATTATTATAATATATTTTATTGTTCAACGTTTGTTGTTTATCAACATGATATTAATACTATTAATTTATCTATATTCGCTTATTGTTGCTGTAAATATAACATATTCACCATATACAATGGTGATGGCGTGTCGAGCTTATCATTATTACGGTTATGTTATTATATTTATAATTATGTTGATGTTTTGTGAACGTTGCATGTTAACGCTTCTCGACTTTGGGCAAGCTGAACTCTTTCTTTTTATTATTATGAATAATATTACCGTCTTTAATTATTTTGGTAAAACATAATTATTTAATACTCTTATAATGCTGAAAACATATATATACCTACATTTATATGCATATAAATATATATATATATATATATATAAATATATTATCTTCAGGAGTTATAGCATATAAATATGTATATTTACTTGCGATAATATATTTATATATGTATATACATCCTTCTCTTCGAGAAGTGTATAAACAATACCTATAGGTATTATTATTACTATATTGTTATTATTTTATTTATTATTTTGGCTTTAAATTGGCCCGATACGTTAGGTGGCACAAATATTAGTGTGTCTATATAATTATTAAAAAAGCCATTCGAAAAATTGCGAATTTCTCATGTCGCGATCGTGATTGTCCTATCCTAGCGGAATCACACGTCGTCGGCACGTCTTCGGCCTCCTGCAGACTCCCGGAATCGGCAGCACCCAGAAGGCGGAGACTGTTCGGCGGCGTCAAGAGCTTTACCATGTTCGGTGGCAGGTCCCAAACACAAGGCCGATCGATATCGTTACCCGAAAGTACGAATTTATATCATTTTGTTTCTTCTGAGCGCAAATTTTTTTATTATAATTATATTATTTTATTATGATGTTTTTACACATACACTTCAAAACCATTTATGATTACTTTTTTCAATTATTTTTATTATTTTTTTATTTATTTTATTTTTATTTTTATTTTTTGTTTTTTCTCTTTCTTCACTCGTTGTTACCTGTCGCGTACACAGAACAGGTTAAGTACGCGGCGGGTACGAGACCATTTGGACAACCCCTAGTGTTACCCAGTCAATCCCCAGATGGAGACCTGCAACAGCCAGTAGACCTTCTGCTGCAATCCGGACACAGACGAAGCTTGATGGCTGGTGCTGTTATGGCGGCCAAGAAGAATTTAACTTTTAAAAAATAACGATTTTCGACCGCCCACCATCAAAAATTTCTCCTCCRCCATCTCTCCGCCAATATATCAACCGCATGTCCGTCAGCCATATCCCTTCAAATTACTCCATAATATAAAACTATAGTTATTTGATAACGAATTTTTAGATTTTATTACGAAACGACGTATATTCCTATAATGATTGATTCACAATAATATAGATAGATGTACCCGCATAATATTATAATTTATTATTATATATTAAACTTGATGTTGTCTGAGAAACGCACCTCGGACCTTATTCTTTATTACTCCTCCCTCACAAAACCATAGACATGTTATACATAATTTTATCGTAGATACACTTTTATTTTTTCCGAGCTCTACTATATTATAACAGACGCGTGTCAGCCCTGCCGTCTTTTTTAAAATAACTGATATTGGTTAAAAAAAAAAAAAAATTATAATTGCATAATATGTACTGAAAACTCTTGCAACCCCACCCCCAACTCCACAAGCCTGAGCTTTTTATTCTTCTATAACTTATTATATTTCATTACTTATACTTCTTCCAATACTATTAGTCAACGCTATATATATAAATATATATATATTGCTCTTTTAACTATCTTATTTGTTAACATGTGTAGTATGTAATATACGATTCGATGACTGTGATCGTTAAAATTGCCACGAAATACGTATTACGACGAATACTTTCCAATATTTATTTATGTTATACTATATATTATTATACGCTAATGTCGTTGCACGGTAGTTTTTTCTCGTTTTMATTTTCTGTTAAACAATATTTCGCATTATATAAAAATAATATTACAATAAAAAAGCATGACGTTCCAACCCCCACCCACTTCCTCCTAAAGATAAAAAAAAATGTAATTTCATCGATATTATATTGCAACTCCACGTTTACTAAGCTTGTTATTATATTAATTAAACTTTATTCTTTTATAAATCACCATTGTTATACCGTGTTTTTGTTTTTTTCTATATACAAGGCCAGACCACCTGCTATTCTCAGGGACAAGACAAGCATTTTTGGACTCGATCAGTCCCTACCGGTCTGTACTTAGCAACCACTCAAAAAAAAATTAGTCTGATGATAGTCATAGTAGAATATAATACATGCAGGTGTTTGCACCATTTAGAACGACCCATTCATGTGCACCGACGCGAGTATTGTTGTAGGACAGTTTCGTGAATAGAAAATTCATTGGACAATATCATTATTATACTGTATTGCTTGAAGAACGTCCTCGTCACTTTCGAAAACTTTCACCCAAGTCTTATCAATAAGGGTCAAAGAACTAGCTCGTCCGATTCACGATCATGTCATAACGTATATATATATTTACATATATATATATATATATATACGTTCGGCCGAAGTTTTAATAATTAAAAGGCCCATAAAAATGTCACGTGCACGTTTTCAAACCTACTAAAGGGATTTAAAAAAATTCAACTCATACATAATTCATCGATACAACATYTTTGCAACCGAGCGACCCTCGTTATTGCACTCTGTCATAATACATATACGGAGAGCCTCGACGTTCGAGACTTTCCGGAGGCGAATACGCATAACCAAACGTCGAACACACACACGAGCTTGTAAAAAATAAAACTCATAAACATCATTTTTACTTACCTACCTGCCTACCCGCCGCATATTATGTGTATTAAACTTACATATTRTGCAATATATTGTCGTCGTCAAAATGCTCGTTTTTGAACACAATCGTATTTCATTGTAATTGTTGTCCTTGATCGGCTTTCACCCGGTACGCATGACGTCATCAGTGTACGGAATCCGAAAAGTCTGCGCAYTGCGGTTATCCTTATATAGTTATTGTTCTTTTGTCTTGGCAAAACTTCCCTATTTATGTGCGTGTCGTAGACAGTGTAGACCAGTGGCGTAACTGGGTAAAMATTTAGGAGGAAGCTAAATAATGTATTCACCTGTAAAATCAGTGGCGTATTTAGGGGGTTGGGAGTTCAAGCCCCCTGGTTGGTAAGGACGTAACCAAGTATAGTTTAAGAGAGGGAGTGTTGAAATATACATTTTTTTGTAACCCCTCCCCCTCCCACCGAAATTAATTTCTTTATACACCACTGCTGTCAAATTGATGCAAATAAGTATATGTTATAAAACTCAAATTTTTGCTATAATTAACAAATTATTACTAAGATTTGTACGTTTTATTTTATTTTAAAAAATATACTTTTGGGATGTTCAATTATAATTCATTTTTCATCGCTTACTATATCATAATTTTTTTCTAGTTTTATTTTTTACCTTCAACAGAGCTATTCTTTTCTTCTTTTGATTAATTATTTTTGTTGACTGCACTACAGCACATGAATGTTTTGTTGATGATAAGTACTTTAGAATTACAGTTTATTCATGTGTTTATTTTCTTAGGGTATGTATATTAAATGTATTATTTCATAATAAATATTTTATGTTTATGTTTCATAATATTGTGATTATTTGTAGTAGGTACTATGGCAAGTTAATAGGGTGTAGTTCCAATTATTAATACAATGAGCGTGAMAATCGTCTGTTTAATTTAACAAAATAAACATTAAAAATCCAAGCGGTAAAATCACTAGTCTCTTATCAAAAAATAAAAAGCGAATATCTTGTATGGTTTATGAGAATGGTATGTCTAAAGTTCGACCACGGAGTGGATAAATTTAACTTTTTTTTTAATGAAACTCTTTATACAGAGAGCACCGGTCCATCAACATTTCGAACATTATTTTTTTTATTTATTTGATTTTTACTTGAATAGTTATTCCATTGTTGATTAAATAATAAATAAAAATCACAGACGAGCTCAAATACGCCACTGACCTACGACATGTACATTTATATGCATCATTTAATCATTTTATGGTTGGCTAATCGTTGTCTAGCGCACTCAAATTCAATAATAATTGTTTATAATTTATTTCATAGTTCACCTACTGTAACAGTTAACAAAGAGAAAAAGCTCGCAGACAATGTCGATTATTAATATTATACACCTAATGTACAATTTTTTTGACGACTTACGATTTACGGTCTAGTGGGCACAATGTAAATATTATTTAATTATTATTAATAATAATTTTACTACCTGTTGCGTATTACGGTTATTATTATATTTAACATTTTTCATGTGAACCGCGATCGACACGATCCGACGGAAACACGTATTTATAAACATACATGGTGTTTAACAGTTTTGGGCACATATTTTGTGTTTGGAGAGTAAAGGCACTCTTCAAAACCAGGTATCGCATTTAGTTTAAATCATATCGCAATAATTATCACCACAATAGTTTTCATAAACCTAAACCTCTATTGTATATAATATGCCACACGTCAGCGACGTTACGAAAATTCTCAACAATTGTTTACACATGCCTATGAATAGGATTTAACGAAAATGCAAGGAATACTCAATACAGTAATAAATTAATGTTACCGTAAGTAGCCGCTGATTGATTAAACGCAAAACACGTTTTCGAATACACTTACAGACATGAAAACCAATATTAATTATATTATCCTTCTCATTGCTTGTGCGGAAAACCGCGAATCATCCTGTATACATGACGATATAACATCTTCGCAAGTTTTCCCCCGATTTCACGATGACAATTAACAACACTCGACAGACCTCATTGTTTTGACTCTGTGATAACTCATGACATCATAATAATATAAATAATATAAATTACTGACTTTGTGTGTTGGTCGTATGACAACAGTAACGTTTGCATGTTGCGTAGTCTAATTAACTTATGAAAAATTTCTAACTTGGTATTACAATTTTTCCGCATGTCTTAGATTTTAGTGGCCTAGATGCATTTTTTTTTTTTTTTTTTTATCGAATAGTTTGTGTGCGATTGGACGGCGAGGCGAGAGAATCCGGTTGACCTTGATAACGTACCTTCGAAGAAACGACATATTTGAACATAACACTGGTTGTTATCTCTTTCTGATGATGCTCTAGTTTTCTCGGACAACCCATGTTTTTAATTACTCGTTCCGGGGTAGAACATTTTGACCTGTCTACGTCGAATGTCGGACCGCCTGTCGTAGCCATACTCGTCCGTTCAAGTGCTGTCTTGGTCTTAGGCTCAAAGACGAACGGAATAGTGCGGCACTAAACCATTTCGCATAACATCCCTTGGACATTGAGACAATATTATGTTTATATCAACTTATTAATAATCTACCATTACGTTTATTAACGGTCCGACACAATCGTTGTATACGCCGTCGAAATTGTTCTGCTCCAGAAGAAGCGAAATCATAAACACGTGTTGCCGATCGAGAAGGGGCGTGAAATATACGAGTGCGATCCTCTCGTCCCGCCGTCCGGCCGCCGTGACCCACTCACCCCCGTCCCACGGCCCGCTCTCTCTGACCATGGGTGCCCCACCCGTGTGTGGACATTTACAGCTCCGCACAGCCCTCGTCGACCGAAACTCAATTCGCGAATGAAGAGCTTTTCGTTGGACTCGTCGGACACAGCGGAACAAGCGCAAAGGCGGCGGATGGGCAGCAGTGGCATCGGAAGCGGCGGCGGAAGCGGCAGCAGCACCGGACTACAACAGCAAATGGAAAGCTACTCAAATCCTTCGTCCTCGTCTAGATTGCAATGTACGTATGCCGCGATCCTTCCCGCCGCGAACCYGTGACTCAACTAAAAAATAAATAAATGAAATTCTGAAAAATAAATTAACAATCCGAAACGAAACCTTCGATATACGTGTCTTATACGTATGATATTAATATAATAATATAAATTATTACTCTAAGACTTCGTTACTCAGCGCGATTATTTAGCGACATCCCAACCGTGAAGGGGGATATCGTCTCATCATATTATTGTACGCTTTTATTTTATTTWATTAGGAAACCCCAATCGATGAGAGTTCATCCGAATGCCGTCGCACACGGTATCATGCCTATATGGATATAATATAGTATATACCTACCGTTGAGCATTTATATTTTATTTTGCCTGTAGATCTGACTAAAAAATATATTATATATTATTATGAAATTATTATGGATACAGTGATATCGATTCGCACAACGTATATGATAATTATATATATATGTTTACAGTATACACATAATTTTGTTTTGTGTGTATGCATTAAATGTATACATAATATATATTTATATGCGTTGATATTACACATAGGTATTATGATTATAAAATCATAAGAAATTATGTTATTGCATGGTAATAATATCATAATGATATATATATTTTTTATTTATATAACTKTCATTGTTTTTCCCCTTCATTTTGCGACTGTGGTGAGTTTTATACGCGTTATGTGTGAGTGTGTGTGTGTTTACTTTAATATTATAATGAKAATAATATGTTGTCTGATGTGAACGGAGACGAGTGTAATAATAATTTTTTTTTATTGGGGGTTGAGACTTCGACAATAAGGGYCATTACCCTGTGGAACYGTTGGGGAGGGAACTGTTGGTTTTAGTACTCGTGGATGTTTTTGGCAGAGTTTTGAATGGCACCCGTAGGTTTCTGCCATGCCCGGGTGGGGGGGGGCTATCTTTCCAGACAGCATGAACTGCCCGGAAAGCGATGCCGCCCATGACCAGGATTCGAACCGGCGACGGTGCACGTCGCAACCGACGCTTTAATCCGCCCGGCCACTAAACCCCCAATTATTATTTTTGTTTTGCGTTTTAACGACGACGGTAGGTATATACCTTAATTAATAAACTATTGCGTTATTATCGTCTCACATGCTTACATTAACCTAAATCGTTTTTCGATAATAATAATTATTATTATTGCTGTGCTAATAGTTGTATATACACTGTATTACTATGTAGTATATACTTATTAGATAACTTTAATAGGATACCCTGAGGTTGTGACGATATCGAATAACTGGTAAAAAAATGACCTTGTGCTGATCGATACAAATATTAAAATCCAAATATTATGCACTCGTGATTGAGTTTTCCGCATTGCCGATATCATTTTTTTTTTTCAAATTTAGTCCGCGCCAATAATTTTCTTCGGTTGGTGAACATATCGATCGTTTAACCGCAACTACTATATTATAATAACGTTATTAATATCAAACTGCTATGCGAACGGTGTGCACAGTAAAAGAGTGCAGAACAAGTAGAATTTATCATTATTTAAAAGACGGTATAATGTTTATTCATCAACGAGACGTTTCAATACTGTAAATAGTTGACTACGCAATGGCTTGACATTTTGATATATATGTAATAAAAAATAAAATAAACTGATTCACTAAATATATTATATACTCATTAACTTAATCTATATATTATATATATAAGACAGTGGCACAATGATCGACAATAAATAGCCGAATTCACTTGTTTGGTCTTTTTTTACCAGCCGTGCACCGTTTATGTTATTCAATTTCTACTGTGCTATACATAGTATAGGTACGCCATAATAATAATTATTGTTCACGTGTCAAAGGCACGTCCTTTAAGTATGGTAGTAACTACCGTAAGGGGTTAAAACATAACACTTAAATGATTAATAATACGATAATTACACGAAATGTTGTTACCGCCGTGTATGCTGCGTGTGTATATGTGTATAACGAGGCCGTGTGTAGCAAATGAAAGTGACGAAAATCGAAAGCACGACGAGAAACTATAATCATTACAATACTATTTAAAACAACTATATAGTTATAACTTATAAGGTATGGAGGAAACAACGCGACAATATTATAATATAATAGCGGTTTTACTCGCTGTGCATGCTTGTACGGACAATGGCTTTTCGCTCTTTCGAGCTATAATGTTATATATTATATTATTACTGTTATACATGTGACGTATGCGGAGATCGTATTTTGTTTTTATTATTGTTTTTGGTATAGACATATTGTATGTGTAATAATGTTTTTTTTTTTTTGGCAAATAATCGCGGCTCCATAGGGCGTAATGAATCGCTACGTTGATAAGGCTCGAAAAAAAAATAGACAAGCAAACTCGATATATGTTGTTATATTATATATAATACGCTTCGCTTTGATAATATCGTATTTGAATTTAAAATTATTTATTTTTTAAAATACAGCAGAGAAAGAGAGATAGTATTTGCGTAAAAATGATGTTGAATGGACATATGTAGCGTAGCTGAGTATTATAATAATTTATTATAATACATATTTATATATATATGATATTGCAGTGTATAAAATGATGTGATTGTTGCGAAGTTATCTGAAAATATAAGTTAATGAAACCCCGAGTGGTTAATAATGTAGTGACGTCGAACCCCCGCCCCTTGCTTAACTCCTTATACCCATCGAGCAGAGCATGTGCGCGAACTTATATTTTCAGACCGCATTGCAATGGTTTTTTTTTTTTTTTGGTTTTTCTTACGTTTTATTACAGTCGTCTGACGACTGAGAGAACCGTAAACATAATATTATGGAACCCAACTAACACTGATTGTGTATATAATATGATGTACACATCGTTATTTTATTTTGTTATTCGTTATATTGTTATTGTTTTTTTTATTTATTTTTTTAAGTTTCATTATTATAATAATTATTAACGAATTTAACACATTTTTTCACAAATTACACTGTATTAATATATATTATTTTAGTTGTTTCCACACTTCCGCCATAGTGTCATCTGCAACACCTCGATTCCTGTATCCATGGTTGGAGCATATTATATAATATTGCAGATCATACTTGTTAACTTCCAAATTATACGAAATACCTCCTAGATAAATACCCATAGGTTGAAATAATTGACTCTATGCATATATAGTTGCCTCTCGAAGATATACACCACAATTAACGATTTAATATCATATTTATACTTCCATAAGTAAATCAAGTAGTCTTGCAGATTAGTGTGGTAAAATCACTCAAATTTATACTTGTTATGTTGAWAATTATGATTGACGACGATTTATAAGAGTCCAAATCATATCATAGAATATTGAATGAAAATTGGAATTATTTTTTTTAAATCGAAAATAATCTAACCATCCACTMGGTGCCTCGACCATAAAAAATTGATCTATTGGTCATACATAAGTTATTGAGTTTAATTTAACTGAATTGAATTTCCATATTATCTATCATTTCATTATCATATATGATAATTCAACTTCGGTGGAATGTGATTGGACCAAAATATTTTTTATATACCTAAAAGTAAAACTAAAAGGAAAAGGAAATTATTGATGAATTGGCCCCGTAAAAAATAAGGAGCGTATTTGACCCGTGTCCAATTTAACGTTGGCGTCAATTCGTATAAAAATATTACCATCGACCTATGCGTGAGTTCGGGAGGCAACTATAGTATGATGCGCCCACGTCGTAGTGGCACATAAAAATATATTGTATTTATAYCTATCCATATAATCATAATATACCTACCCACTATTGCTCGTTTACCTACACCATCGTTCCTGTACAACGATGACACATAATCGTGTCATCATCGTGTATTTTGCCACCGTGTCCCCGACATGTCGCGTGCGTTCCTCGTCGTACAACGACAACACGGTTTTCCATTAAATACTACTTGTTGATGTTACCGCCCGCCTTACGTTTGTTTTTCGTCCGTGTTTTCAGCTCCGTCTAGCCCGGTGCACAACCGGCGCCTACTGTCCACCAGGACCATACGGATGAGCTCGGTCGAGTTACCCGACGACAACGATAAGTCACTGTCGTCGGCAAGTACGTCTCCGTGCCCGTCGCCGGTGAGATATTCACAAGTACAGTATTACAATAATTATACACACAGCGCGCGTGCATAATGATTTCAATGTAGGTAATATGCGGTATTAACGTGATGCCGGTTAACGTTAACCAAAGTTAACAAAACGCAGTGCCTCGACTGTATAGACCTAARATCGCGCGTTCGCAGTATACTCAAAGACATCATCACGCACTCTACCCAGAGATTTGTTTTCATCTTTTTTTCAGAAACCGCACAGGCTGTTACCGAATAATCTCTACGTGGTGCTGTACAACTTCAAAGCTCGTCGGGAAGACGAACTGGATCTGAAGTGAGTACCTACACTGCAAACATGACGAATAACTAGTTTCGAGATGTAATTAATCGTTATTAGCGATGAGAAAAAAAATATAAAATAACGATTTACATTCTGATTTATGATAAATTGTTATTATACTATTAAATAAATGTGACTCATATTATTGTGCAGCGCGTGTGTGACATTAGATTTTCAACAAAATCTAATTAAAATTAAAAATGTTCATTTAATTATAATTAAAATTTGTATTCTGATTTAATATAAATCCTATCCAACATAATAATGCCCTAGCTGCTTCGTATTCTTATAGTGAGCTTGAATCTGGTCGTTGAGATTAATGATAACTCTTTCGTAGACGTCTCGACTTAACGATTTTGCTGATTACCCGTTGGATTTCTCTCTTCAGGTCAGCCACTACATGAAGTTTGTTCACGTACATCACATTTTATTTTAGATATTCTCATAAAAATCAGTCTCATAGTATGATGTGAAATCACATTTAAGATAATTGCGCTTATCCCATGACCCGTGATATGTGGTATGTGATTCGTTCTATAGTGAAACCTTTGCTGGATATTATTTATCATTATTAAATCTAAATAATTTCTGATCGCAATTACAARCAACTTTGCCTTATTTGTGAATTTGAAACTTTTAAGAAACATGATTCTTCTGTCTTTACCAAAACGGTTGATCTAAGTAGTCGCCAGTCGGATGCAATAATGCTCTTATTTACTTTTTTTCTTAGTTTACATTTTTCTTTCATCTACGTATTCTACGTATTTCCATATTTATCTTGTGTAGTTATTCAAGTAAATAAAACATAATATTTTGAAGAATATATTTTATAAAATGTTTACGTCCCCCCCTCCTTAAAACTTATTTAATGCCACTTCGAGCACTGATTGTGAGCTTCGTATGTATCATGTGACACCGTTATACAGAACAAACGATATATAGATAACAATAATTTGAAAAAAATATTTTTTTAATCCAAGCTTGTTTGCTGTGTGTTTTTAGGGCGGGATACAAGGTGACCGTTATTGATACCTCGGACCCGGCCTGGTGGAAAGGTAAATGTTTCGGTCGCGTCGGTTACTTTCCGTACAATTACGTGACCAAAGTACAGCCCGGCGAGAGGCCGTGGCAAGTCACAATCAATTTACAGGTGTTGGACGTTGACAATAATCCACTCACATTGTTGAGAGACCAGGTAAGAGCCTAAGCTATCATCATTTACATATCATATTAGTTGTATTAATTGTATACCATGATGCGCATTCCACAACATTCGTGAAATGCTGATTCTCGTACTGCGGTCGTAGTTATATCATTATTTAAGGCTCAGATTTAAATGTATTTATTTGAAAAAAGTATTTATTCATACAATAAATACACATAAATATGTGCTAATAAATTTAAAATATGTGTTATCGTCAAAAAAAATTAATTATTATATAATAAAATATTAAAATGTAATAAAAATAATGATTAATTATCTTGATTGCAATTTATAACAACATGCAGTATTTTTAAACTTTCATATTCAAAGGATCGCCGACTCTATTGTAAAATTGTTTTATACTTTCGACATTATCTGTATAGGTTTTATATTAGTCGTTAAAACGAACAACGAACACAGATTAAACCCACAAAATACGCAATACAGTCTACTACTCATCGCAGTGTTTGCTCGTTTGTTGTGTAATAAAAATTTGTGAACTTTAAAGGGTTAAAATACCACAATAATATATCTTATATTTCAGCTTATAAAATAGATATATKATTTCAATCATTCTAAACTCTGAAGAAAATATGTTGGAACAGTAAAATATTGTCTAAGTACCTACGTAAGAAAAAATTGAATAATTATGAAATATGTAAAAATATGTAAAATCAAATATGGTTTTCTTTATCAAAAATCTTACGTAAYGAATTTAAAGCTTTCCCAAGTGAGTTTATTATTCCATGGTGAAATATATATTTACAAATTAATCCAAGCCCTAATTATTTTTAATTATTATTAATGTCGAAATCTCACGTTCTTCAATGATGATATATTTTATAAATCGATTATACATTTGATTAATTATCAAACTATTTACATTGATGTTGCCTCTCGGCAATAATTTTTCAGTAAAAATTAATTTACCTTTTAATTAATCATAATAATTCATTATTTACAATCACTTAATGTTTTTTTCAATTTAACAGCTCCCCATCATCATTTTTACAGTCGTGTTATTAATTGATCCGCGTGTTGTACTCTTGTTCAAATAATTAAGCTTCTATTATTCTCCCCCTTCATATTCTTTTATCAACGAAAGTAATTTTATGTCGCTTATAAACAGTATTTCGCATGATAGTTTCTTTTCAATCTTTATAATCGAAACGCACAATAGATTAGTAAGTACACGTAAACCTATACAATAAATATGATTTTTGCTCTCTTTTTTTTATCATAAACCATTTTTTTACCAACAATATTGCTCAAATGAATTAATTTAATTAAAATAATATAACAAGAATCATATTAAGTTTTAAACATATTCTTTACGTTCCATTCCACTCTTCTTCTTATGCTAGTCACAATCACCCTATAGATCGTATATGTTTCGAAATTTCAATAATGTGTTGTAATCGTTAGTCTCTTCTCGCCGCTACTTATGTATATTTCTGGATCTAATTTTGTATTATCTGTGTCCATTTTAAACTACTTACTTTTGCTAATTATTATATAAGTATTTAATATTGTACTCTTTCTAAATTGAACATTGGACGTAAATTGATTAAAATAAATAAATTAAATTAAAAAATTGACATTACAACAACTATACGTCGTGTGGTATTATGAACGAACATAAATCCTGCAAAAAAAATATAATTATGATTTATCAGACTCTGGACGCCTATCGCAGTTTATCGTAAACTACTGTACCTACTTCTATATCGCGGATTATACGTCGTGTAATATTATATATACAAATTTAAATACATTATCATCCCTCGTATAACGGTTGTACAGGTACCACAGCTATACGATAACCATCAAAACAATTATCGCGGGGACTTAATATTATTATACGTTTAAACTGCTGTGATTGTATTTATATTGTGTGCCTATACTCAAAACATTATTTCCAACACATTCCCTTATGGCCCATTACTTTACATCTAACCTCATAATATATTATTGAATTCTGATATGTATACGCCACACGCGTATATATTATATAGGTTATCGAAATGACACAACATTCGTTTTGAACCTACACCGTCCCTATATTACGCTATAACGATCATATATTGACAGTTGAAATCTATTTATTTCTGTTCATACCGTTTGTGTTTATAATATATTATAACATAGCACCTACCATCAAACACACAATTAACACCGATTTTAATTAAAACGTTTTCAAACATTTGCTTGTATCTAATACATTATCTACGACGAAAAAATATATTTCACATGAACAATACATTATTCGGTTTTGGATCCCATAAAAAAGAATTAAAAAATTATATTCAATGCTATGTATGTTTTTTTTCCCAAAATCACGTCTCTTGAGAGTAAAATTAAGAAATTGCGCGTATTAAAACTATTCACGCATAATAGACTATAATTCGCGTCAATTTTAACAAATTGTATTGCACAAAAGTCTATTTTCAAATTTCTTTTTTGTTGAATTTTTGAGAAAACCATGAATGAGAATTGGTGAGAACTATCATGGTATGCAACTACAATAATTGCTTTTAACAAAACTTGACTAATTGTAAGCAAACAAAAAAAAAATCATAAAATGGTATTTAAATCACCTCTATCAAGCGTTGGAGTGAGCGTAATCAAAGTGTGACAAAAACCGATTTCATTAGAAAACTAATTAAAACCTCAACAAAGTCAACAACAAAATTATTGTAGTTTTCTATAAATTGTTTGCAACTTGTGTCGAAAATTACTTGTAGATACCTAACATTTAATATTTACTTATATTTATATACGAATCAATGTAGCATTAAATATGGTACTACTAAAATTGATCACTACCCTTCTAAACGCAATAGTCACATTAAACATTTAAAATAAAAGTTTAATAACACACACACACACACATTAACCCTAAATCAATAAATTCTTCGCTTGTTATAGATATAATATAGATTTAAGTATAGGTTTATGCTCTATATTATAATAACAGTACCTCAATAATGGCAATAAGCAAACTATGAACATATTATTGRTACATTTGATTTGAGAATGGGTCCAATCATTTTACGCATTGAGTCAATTTTATTTACCTAAATGCTTGGTCATAACCAAATAAATTCTGTAGTTGACCCACTTCGGGTTATTATTAGGTAACAAAATCGTTTTTATCAAACATAACCTGATTAATTGTACATAATGTCTAAATGTTTTTCTGTCAGGCTTTTATTTGAACAGCACATTTAAATAAATAAAATAAAAAGTTATTTCACTATACAATTTGTCAACATAATTTAATTTGATCATGTTGTAATATCCTAAGACTAAAAAGTCGAATCTCGATTTTCAATACCTGAAACAAAAGAACAAAATCCAATTATGTAACACTGTTTTACTGCAGCGACGAACATACCGGAATGTAAAAAAAATATTCAAAAGATAAGTAAAGGATTGCTATTATTTTAGTAATTTACTGTTTGTAAATGAAGCAATCTGTATTCAAATTAGGTTATGAAAAAACTGCAATCTAGTTATTATATTAAATATAAATGAGCGTGTGTGTGTACGATTGGGGGACCCGTGTTTTTATAAACGTCACTTTTTATCGTCCAAAATCTATGTTTTATATTATTATGATATCTAATTTAGTATTTACCCTTCGACATACGACATTGTTAAAAAATAATATCGAATCACAAATAACTTTACTGCATTGGCTTTATATTTTAAAATATTTCTTCCAATTCCTTCCAATAACATTGTATTATTTTCCTATACATCGTTAAAATATGTTTTTAAATTTTTACTTTAATTAGAACAAAATTGTTGTTTTYTCTGTTTTTAGACTTTTAAAGTCTCTTTTTACACACAATACATACATACATATTTATATATATCGTATATACTTACTCTAATTGGTATAGATTATACTTTATACGACAGTAGTTGTAATTGTATCCGTCTATATAACTCGTAGGCCGTTGCCATTGTTACAAATCACCATTGTTTCCAGCTTCCAAATTCCATATTGTATTGTTATTGAATTAARTGGTGAAAACATTGGAAGTTAAATTTAAAAACATGTATTAAATAAAGTTGTTTTAAGTAAAATTTTAGCAGGTTTCAACATAATTTCTTGAAAATATATTGATAATTGACCAACTCTTATGATTTAAATGCATAAATGGATTTTYGCAATTTAAACACTAGTGTAAATAATTGTACTTTAATTATTTCGGCGTTGATAAATGATATATTTTGTAATTTTGATTCTATTTAATTGTGAGCCCGTAAATCATTTAWCTGTGGGGTAATCACATGGCATTAATAACGTATAATATATGCTCTTCTTTRCTCGGTTATTTCACATTTTCTCTAATAAAAAATAGCAAAAAGTATTTATGTACAGATTTTTTTTATGTWGATGAATAATTGAATAACAAACAATTTGTTTTAGTTAATACATAAAGTCTAACACATACATATTATCACTTTATACAAGAATCCGGACCATAAATCAGTAGATACAATATAATATATAATTGAAATATACGACTTGCAAATATTYCGATTAATAAACGTCGTCATTATATCACGCGTTTCAATCGAATTTAATAACAACCTTTCATCAGGCGATGCAATTCGTAGATTAGAATCGTAAATATTTAATTCTTGAAATATTTTTTATTCCGTTTGACGCAACCTTGAATTTCCCACTTATTTTATAGGTAATAATATTGTTAGGCGTGGCACTTGTTTACGTACATACCGGGTAAATACGCGACTAACCAACTCCTGCGACTGCATTGTTTCGCGGTTAGGTTTTATCGATTTCGTACCGTTCTGTGATTATGATATAATATAATTCGTTTTTCGTCAAATTAGTGAGATARGTTCGTAGCGGGAGCGCATCATTGTATGAAAACCTTTTTTTTGTTTATTACTCACTATRTTATATTATATACATAATATGTACGCGGAAATTTTTGTTTTTTCGTTTCCTTGAAAATTAATGTACTTATATTATAATTTAGTTGCATAAATAATATTCTATGACGTCACTTCAATAGTAATGATGATAATAATAGATTGGTAAAAATATAATTGGCTCGACGGCGAAAAAATAAAGCGATGGTTATAAAAGTAACAAAATGTGAAAATTTGCGGACGAATATATTTCTCGAATTCAATAGGTGCCTATAGTATAATTGTAATATAATGGTATACTGGTAAAAGTACCTCTACAGCATCTCATTCATTTGGTCATCGTGTGATAACGATAAACGAAAGATGGTAAAAATTCTTTTGACGGACAAACGATTTCAAGATGTCTACTATTTTAAAAGTCAAGAGTAAACAGAGTTTTGAAGTTMTCCACAAATACCAGAAAAAAAAACAATCAGTGAATTTGATATTTCTAAACGAACAACAGTTTTTTCTACTTAATTCAAACCAGTTGTCGTACTACATCTATTGGTTTGTTTGCGATGTTTGATATTCGAACATACCACATTTGTGCTGTTTGACTAACTACAATTTTCTCCGCTCATTTCAAACAGTTTTTGGTCTTTTAAGATTGTCTGATGTTCGATATTTATACACACCATGTTAGAACACAGAAATCAGATATTCGGAAAATATAGGGAAGAAACCATTTCGAAAATTTGTACTGTTTGATGGTTTTTTTTTTTTTAAATATATGCCTATTATATATACATGTACATTTTACAACATAGAGACAAACCTGCTGCAAAAAATATAACATAAATACTTAACATACCACATACGATTCATATTATTATATATATATTTTTATCATATTAATTATCTTATATATATATCTTTTTTGTTTTTCTTTATTATGCTTTATAATCCTTATGTAAATTAAAATTAAATTATACTATGTATTTCTAAAACGCCAATAACCCTGGCAGTTGAGGTGTATTTCTAAATAAAAAAAAAAAAACATTTTACAACAGTAATAAATAATGTCAAATCTTATCTCGTGAGTGATGCGTACATAATACATTTAAACTTGGAGCCACCGTACCTCGGTGGATGCTGTTATCAGACACTTTGTGTATAGTATCGTATTGTGTTTTCACATGTTGAACCGTGCCAAACGTTACAATAATAATGAGGTATCTTTACCCAAGATTGTTCACGTTTTGCAGCGTTCCACTGCGTCACACTAGAAATACGCTAAGCGAGGTCAAAAAATAATAAATTCCGTGATATTGTTATAGTTTAAGAGGAGTAAGTATGATAAACAATTAAAATTTTAATTACGTTTCATTTTTAATCAAAATAATAAATTAAATTAAATTAAACAAAATTATTAAAATTACTACAACATAACCATATACTTCATTTTTTGGTAAAAATAAAACTGCTGTCATTAATTAAAGCTCAACGTGTTACACTAATTTAATTAAAACATTCCAAATTTGAATGAAAAATAATTAAACGCAAGGTTTGATGATTAGGACTTTATATTATACATATTATTGTACCTAATTTAAATTATCCTGGTATAATAATTATACCTTTTATTTTTTATTTTAATTGTTTTTTTAGACATAAAACATTGAGCTATTCGCCACCAAAAAAAAAAAAGTTTAACATAGAACGACTATTAGATTTAGTTTTATATTTAGTGGTGGAAACCCTTTCCCCGAATACCCCTTCATTTTACCAATCATCGTTATTCGTTCAATGCTATTCTAATCGTTTTTGAAATATCGCAATCGAATAATACAATTTATATTAAACAGTAATTTATCCTTTATCGTTGTATGACAATAGTTTTAGAACGCAAACGAATTAGCCGAAAATAGTAAGTCACTTTGACCTCTCCAAAATTCGCAACTAACCGTTTTCAGCCGTCAATTGCACARGCAACCGAAAACACTGAAAATCAATTCCATCGAGAGGGCAATATGCTAGGCGTCCATTACATATCACACAACTTCAGTTACCCAAATTACCCAGACCCTGGCACGTTTCCGGGTAAGTGGAATAATAATTGGGCATATTGATAATAATGGTTTGTCAGGATTGACATCTCATGGATTTTGTTTTATTTTTCCTTCAGTCGTTTGAAATGATAGTAAGTTACTAAGAAACAGACATGTCATAACAAAATATTAAATTACATACGAATAGGTAGGTGTATTTTTACAACTTGTAAGACTAAAATAGCACAAGATTACGTCGGTCAATATATTAATATAATTGAACATTTCAATAATATATTATATATATTATATATTATTATTATTATTATGTTGTTGTTTCTACGCAGTAATGTACCACTATTGCCTATACACTGCGCCGTGATACACTATCGAAAAACTGTTGACTTGGATCATCACATTGACACAGCTATTCCGTAATATTACGTTATAATATTATTCGTCGTATAATGTATTACTGTTTTTTATTTTGAGAAGTTGTGAATCAACGATTATATTTACTACCAATTGCATTGAAATCGATTTTATATAAGTGGCGTTCGGTTAAGTACAGTATAGGTAGTCAAGAGATGTTAAAAATGTCGCCAATGATGAATAATTATTTCTAGTAGAATTACAACAGTCGTCTTTTTTTAAAAATGAGTTCATATACTTAATAATATATTGGTGATGGCAGTATATTAAATCTCAAAGAATACAGTTTTCTGATTTACTACTAAAATAAAAAATTGCAGCTYAATAACATAAATCGATTTTGCTTGACACGAGGTTATTGGCGCTACTGCGCATATTCATCGAATTTTGTTTTGTTTACAATCTTTTCGTCAAATTATCTTTASTAGACATTTAAATAAATCGACTGTGAAAATCTTAAAATAACACGAAGAAATCCAAAATACGGAATATTCAATCTGAAAAGTAGGTTTGAAAGAATCTTTTTATGCACTATTTTAAATTAACATTTTAAAACAATAAAAAAAAACCTCAGATGGCTATAGCAACCTATACTCGTAATATGTATCTTCTGTTTATGTAAAATATGTCTTGAATGACTAATCAGCCGTACAGCCAAAACTATGATWTACTATAGACTTTAAACGTTCGTAGTTCCCCGTACCACTATATGTAACAATGGACTGAGAAAATTTTTTTCAAATTGGGATCTTATAAAAATGACCCATCCRAGGATTTTGTTTTGGCAAATGGAAATATAAATATTTTTTTTGTATTTATATGTATTATGTAGACAATTAATTAAAAAAAAAATATCGTTGGATATTATTCAACATTATCGACATTCGTATAAACTATTTGGAAGTCGAATAAATAAAAAAAATTGAGTATGATCTTAATATAACGTATGAAAATGAATGTTTTTATTTGTCTTCCGCATACTCAAAAAGTACTGGATCGTTTTCAATAAATGTAATATTATTAGATTCTTTGAGACTTGTGGGMTGTTTCCAACCCATATAAAATATATCGCTAATTGTTAGTTACAATTTATATTCGTTTTGGTTTACAAAAGTTGAATATTTTTTGATTTATTTTAAAGGCGGTCATTAGCCTGTAACCAATATCTGCAGAATATATTACTATTATAATTATTATAAAAATAGTAAAAATATGGTTTTAGATATATTTAATACTTTTGAATACAAAAATTACAATGATAACTTWTATGATTTTCTTTATCCTGGAGGACATATTTTTTTTATGTAAACAATAATCATTTGCCATAAATACGGATTATTAAAAAGTGGAAAACCATAAAATTGATCATTATTGTAGTAATCGCGTTCGAATAATATATATTTCAACTGAAGCAAAACTGACAAATATAAGAAGATCGATTAATTTTAATCGCGTATGAAGTTGGGTAATACAGCTAGTATTTTATATAATTTATTCGTATAATACATAATATACAACTAAAATAATAATATCCTTTTAAATAAAAACGTAATTTTGTAAATATGTTTCTGATACTGGTGTGAGGACATAATCACCATAACAATCATGTCGTATTATTATGTGTACATTACGTGCGCCTACTTAGAATATTCACCTCGTGGACCCCGGCCAGCTGCGATAACAATATCTGACACGTTTTGTATGTTTGTTTACAAATAGATCGTTATCCAGATCGGCGAAGGACCAGACGGTTCAGTAATGATCCGAAACGCAGAGAACAAACAGGGCATGTGYCCAGTGAAGTTCCTGCAGGAGGTGTGACAATCGGGTGAGCGATACGTGACGCATCGCTTTTCTATGTCTCGACGTCCTTTCTTGAGCCCCTGTAAGTATACATAATTCATAATATTATATTTTATATGTTCACTAGTTGTACGGTGTGATTCACCAAGAATTCTCGCGTTTATTTYCTTCTATATCATCATGAAGTTATTTAAAAGTGACTTTACAGAATTTTCAAGTATATCACTTTCTTACAATTATTTTACGATTAAATAATAATATAATATATTAGTGGCCAAGCAAGTTTGATAAATCGCCACCATCATTACGTCTTGTACGCACAAATTATGTTTCTTCTGACGTATGCCAATAGATCATTGCCATTTCCCGTTCATATTTTTATCTATTCTATAATATTATATGCTCTTATGTATATGTGTTATGTATACTATAATATAAATATTTTTTCTTGTTTATCAAACTTAAAATATATCAACATATTACATGCATGTTATATTACAGTTTTTTTACATAAGTATATAATTTATTAATAAAAGTAAATATAATGTAGCACTAACATTATACGTAATACGTGCCACAATATTCGTAATGATAGTCAATATAATGTCATATAATGACTGATATAGCACGTTCTTGTAATCATCCCTCATACCACTTTTTTGGGCGCAACAACAATAAATCAAGTTTTGTGGCTTTGCATGTATTATACAAGTCTTATAGACGAAACTAGATAGTCACGTATACTACGTATAGAGAGATTTAATTTCGACTAGAGGGCTGGGAATAGTCGGCATCGAATGTTAATATATTGTATGATATATAATAGGTACCTGTGAGAAGGAAATATCGATAAATTCCTTCGCGAAGAAATTGAAAATCGATCAATGGTGATTATATTAATTTTATATGCGTCAATACACGTATATGAAAATAATATATTATATTTGCTTATTCAAATTTCTCGTATCCGGGACGATTGCGAATGATTCTAATTGTTATAACGTATTACATATAATATTATATACCTACATAAGGCTAACCATATATACGTTTTCCGAATACAATACGAGCTGACGCCTATTTAAAACTTTCAATCTGGCCTCGAGGAAATACAGACGTATACAGTGCGTTAAGTGTCATCAAAACCCAACGTCTCGTCTGATCCCGCCTGTCGTTTAATAATCTACGCTCACTTGTTATATACCTATTGTTCTACTATAAATCGTAGTCTATGCATATAATATATTATTGATATCATCTCACATTCATTTGTTTTTTTTTCCCCCAACAGCTTTGCCCTCGGACTACGAGAGATACGACGACGACCGGCCCTACGGCCGTCGACATTCCAACTCGCAGAATCGACCGCTGTTGGTGATCGGTCAACGTTGAATCAATCCGCGACGCCGAATTATACACACACACTTTCATACAAATAGTTACATTTACACACACATACATACAGAAACACACTAGTGCGCACACACACACACACATCATATATATGGATATATATGTGTATTATCATATACAAACACATAAGCAGGTACCGCGGTTTTCTACCCCCCTTGCGACTGAAAAAACTAGCTCCCTCATGGCCTCATCCACTCCACTACCTTTTTCCATCAGCAGACTACAACCGGAGTTGTTAAATTACATCCCCACCGTCCCTATCAATTTCTACTTTGCTGTGTACAACACACATATGTGTTATATATTTACGCCGACGAGATTCTACGAAAATATAGTAATTCTCCATGTTGNTGGTTATAAAAGTAACAAAATGTGAAAATTTGCGGACGAATATATTTCTCGAATTCAATAGGTGCCTATAGTATAATTGTAATATAATGGTATACTGGTAAAAGTACCTCTACAGCATCTCATTCATTTGGTCATCGTGTGATAACGATAAACGAAAGATGGTAAAAATTCTTTTGACGGACAAACGATTTCAAGATGTCTACTATTTTAAAAGTCAAGAGTAAACAGAGTTTTGAAGTTMTCCACAAATACCAGAAAAAAAAACAATCAGTGAATTTGATATTTCTAAACGAACAACAGTTTTTTCTACTTAATTCAAACCAGTTGTCGTACTACATCTATTGGTTTGTTTGCGATGTTTGATATTCGAACATACCACATTTGTGCTGTTTGACTAACTACAATTTTCTCCGCTCATTTCAAACAGTTTTTGGTCTTTTAAGATTGTCTGATGTTCGATATTTATACACACCATGTTAGAACACAGAAATCAGATATTCGGAAAATATAGGGAAGAAACCATTTCGAAAATTTGTACTGTTTGATGGTTTTTTTTTTTTTAAATATATGCCTATTATATATACATGTACATTTTACAACATAGAGACAAACCTGCTGCAAAAAATATAACATAAATACTTAACATACCACATACGATTCATATTATTATATATATATTTTTATCATATTAATTATCTTATATATATATCTTTTTTGTTTTTCTTTATTATGCTTTATAATCCTTATGTAAATTAAAATTAAATTATACTATGTATTTCTAAAACGCCAATAACCCTGGCAGTTGAGGTGTATTTCTAAATAAAAAAAAAAAAACATTTTACAACAGTAATAAATAATGTCAAATCTTATCTCGTGAGTGATGCGTACATAATACATTTAAACTTGGAGCCACCGTACCTCGGTGGATGCTGTTATCAGACACTTTGTGTATAGTATCGTATTGTGTTTTCACATGTTGAACCGTGCCAAACGTTACAATAATAATGAGGTATCTTTACCCAAGATTGTTCACGTTTTGCAGCGTTCCACTGCGTCACACTAGAAATACGCTAAGCGAGGTCAAAAAATAATAAATTCCGTGATATTGTTATAGTTTAAGAGGAGTAAGTATGATAAACAATTAAAATTTTAATTACGTTTCATTTTTAATCAAAATAATAAATTAAATTAAATTAAACAAAATTATTAAAATTACTACAACATAACCATATACTTCATTTTTTGGTAAAAATAAAACTGCTGTCATTAATTAAAGCTCAACGTGTTACACTAATTTAATTAAAACATTCCAAATTTGAATGAAAAATAATTAAACGCAAGGTTTGATGATTAGGACTTTATATTATACATATTATTATTGTACCTAATTTAAATTATCCTGGTATAATAATTATACCTTTTATTTTTTATTTTAATTGTTTTTTTAGACATAAAACATTGAGCTATTCGCCACCAAAAAAAAAAAAGTTTAACATAGAACGACTATTAGATTTAGTTTTATATTTAGTGGTGGAAACCCTTTCCCCGAATACCCCTTCATTTTACCAATCATCGTTATTCGTTCAATGCTATTCTAATCGTTTTTGAAATATCGCAATCGAATAATACAATTTATATTAAACAGTAATTTATCCTTTATCGTTGTATGACAATAGTTTTAGAACGCAAACGAATTAGCCGAAAATAGTAAGTCACTTTGACCTCTCCAAAATTCGCAACTAACCGTTTTCAGCCGTCAATTGCACAGGCAACCGAAAACACTGAAAATCAATTCCATCGAGAGGGCAATATGCTAGGCGTCCATTACATATCACACAACTTCAGTTACCCAAATTACCCAGACCCTGGCACGTTTCCGGGTAAGTGGAATAATAATTGGGCATATTGATAATAATGGTTTGTCAGGATTGACATCTCATGGATTTTGTTTTATTTTTCCTTCAGTCGTTTGAAATGATAGTAAGTTACTAAGAAACAGACATGTCATAACAAAATATTAAATTACATACGAATAGGTAGGTGTATTTTTACAACTTGTAAGACTAAAATAGCACAAGATTACGTCGGTCAATATATTAATATAATTGAACATTTCAATAATATATTATATATATTATATATTATTATTATTATTATGTTGTTGTTTCTACGCAGTAATGTACCACTATTGCCTATACACTGCGCCGTGATACACTATCGAAAAACTGTTGACTTGGATCATCACATTGACACAGCTATTCCGTAATATTACGTTATAATATTATTCGTCGTATAATGTATTACTGTTTTTTATTTTGAGAAGTTGTGAATCAACGATTATATTTACTACCAATTGCATTGAAATCGATTTTATATAAGTGGCGTTCGGTTAAGTACAGTATAGGTAGTCAAGAGATGTTAAAAATGTCGCCAATGATGAATAATTATTTCTAGTAGAATTACAACAGTCGTCTTTTTTTAAAAATGAGTTCATATACTTAATAATATATTGGTGATGGCAGTATATTAAATCTCAAAGAATACAGTTTTCTGATTTACTACTAAAATAAAAAATTGCAGCTYAATAACATAAATCGATTTTGCTTGACACGAGGTTATTGGCGCTACTGCGCATATTCATCGAATTTTGTTTTGTTTACAATCTTTTCGTCAAATTATCTTTASTAGACATTTAAATAAATCGACTGTGAAAATCTTAAAATAACACGAAGAAATCCAAAATACGGAATATTCAATCTGAAAAGTAGGTTTGAAAGAATCTTTTTATGCACTATTTTAAATTAACATTTTAAAACAATAAAAAAAAACCTCAGATGGCTATAGCAACCTATACTCGTAATATGTATCTTCTGTTTATGTAAAATATGTCTTGAATGACTAATCAGCCGTACAGCCAAAACTATGATWTACTATAGACTTTAAACGTTCGTAGTTCCCCGTACCACTATATGTAACAATGGACTGAGAAAATTTTTTTCAAATTGGGATCTTATAAAAATGACCCATCCRAGGATTTTGTTTTGGCAAATGGAAATATAAATATTTTTTTTGTATTTATATGTATTATGTAGACAATTAATTAAAAAAAAAATATCGTTGGATATTATTCAACATTATCGACATTCGTATAAACTATTTGGAAGTCGAATAAATAAAAAAAATTGAGTATGATCTTAATATAACGTATGAAAATGAATGTTTTTATTTGTCTTCCGCATACTCAAAAAGTACTGGATCGTTTTCAATAAATGTAATATTATTAGATTCTTTGAGACTTGTGGGMTGTTTCCAACCCATATAAAATATATCGCTAATTGTTAGTTACAATTTATATTCGTTTTGGTTTACAAAAGTTGAATATTTTTTGATTTATTTTAAAGGCGGTCATTAGCCTGTAACCAATATCTGCAGAATATATTACTATTATAATTATTATAAAAATAGTAAAAATATGGTTTTAGATATATTTAATACTTTTGAATACAAAAATTACAATGATAACTTWTATGATTTTCTTTATCCTGGAGGACATATTTTTTTTATGTAAAMAATAATCATTTGCCATAAATACGGATTATTAAAAAGTGGAAAACCATAAAATTGATCATTATTGTAGTAATCGCGTTCGAATAATATATATTTCAACTGAAGCAAAACTGACAAATATAAGAAGATCGATTAATTTTAATCGCGTATGAAGTTGGGTAATACAGCTAGTATTTTATATAATTTATTCGTATAATACATAATATACAACTAAAATAATAATATCCTTTTAAATAAAAACGTAATTTTGTAAATATGTTTCTGATACTGGTGTGAGGACATAATCACCATAACAATCATGTCGTATTATTATGTGTACATTACGTGCGCCTACTTAGAATATTCACCTCGTGGACCCCGGCCAGCTGCGATAACAATATCTGACACGTTTTGTATGTTTGTTTACAAATAGATCGTTATCCAGATCGGCGAAGGACCAGACGGTTCAGTAATGATCCGAAACGCAGAGAACAAACAGGGCATGTGYCCAGTGAAGTTCCTGCAGGAGGTGTGACAATCGGGTGAGCGATACGTGACGCATCGCTTTTCTATGTCTCGACGTCCTTTCTTGAGCCCCTGTAAGTATACATAATTCATAATATTATATTTTATATGTTCACTAGTTGTACGGTGTGATTCACCAAGAATTCTCGCGTTTATTTYCTTCTATATCATCATGAAGTTATTTAAAAGTGACTTTACAGAATTTTCAAGTATATCACTTTCTTACAATTATTTTACGATTAAATAATAATATAATATATTAGTGGCCAAGCAAGTTTGATAAATCGCCACCATCATTACGTCTTGTACGCACAAATTATGTTTCTTCTGACGTATGCCAATAGATCATTGCCATTTCCCGTTCATATTTTTATCTATTCTATAATATTATATGCTCTTATGTATATGTGTTATGTATACTATAATATAAATATTTTTTCTTGTTTATCAAACTTAAAATATATCAACATATTACATGCATGTTATATTACAGTTTTTTTACATAAGTATATAATTTATTAATAAAAGTAAATATAATGTAGCACTAACATTATACGTAATACGTGCCACAATATTCGTAATGATAGTCAATATAATGTCATATAATGACTGATATAGCACGTTCTTGTAATCATCCCTCATACCACTTTTTTGGGCGCAACAACAATAAATCAAGTTTTGTGGCTTTGCATGTATTATACAAGTCTTATAGACGAAACTAGATAGTCACGTATACTACGTATAGAGAGATTTAATTTCGACTAGAGGGCTGGGAATAGTCGGCATCGAATGTTAATATATTGTATGATATATAATAGGTACCTGTGAGAAGGAAATATCGATAAATTCCTTCGCGAAGAAATTGAAAATCGATCAATGGTGATTATATTAATTTTATATGCGTCAATACACGTATATGA